CAGAGATGAACGGATGAGTTATACAAAAATAAACTATATATTATTATTATTAAATGAAAATTTATAAATCGCTTTTTAATAAAATCTCAAAAGCGCCTACAATAAGTGCAAGAAAAAATAAACAAGAAAAAAGAAAGAAAGTTGTTGATTGTCACTCAGTTAAATGTCAGAACACACATATATTTAACACAAAATCAATAAATAAATAGATGACCAAAAAGAAGTAATACTAATTCAAATGACGATTTTTAGGATTTATCCACACAAGTTACGACACAAGAATTAAAACAACATAATGATAGTACTGACTAATAAAAAACATAAAAAATAAAAAAAAAATTTTTTTTCATAATCACATTTAATTACAAGAACCGAAATGCTGCTTAAATAGCAGCAACTTTAATTGTTTACGAAATAGAGGAAATGATATTCCAAGTAGACGGAGTGAGGTTGGCAAATTATTCCACACCATCGGTATAGCAACAGCAAAATTTCTTTTACCAATCACCAAGCGGGTTTGAGGAACGTCTAACAAATTCCTATTATTGGATCTCAATCCTGGATAACCAGACGTTGAATCACGTTTAGTCAATCTACCGACCAAGTACGGAGGAGCACGCCCATTTAAAACTTTGAACATCAAAACAGCAATCTTGTAGATAATTCTCTTTTCAATCGGAAGCCAGTGCAGATCCCGTAAAATCGGCGTCACATGATCAGATCTAAAACCTCCGACAACTAGCTTGGCCATGCGATTTTGAATTGACTGTAGTTTGGAGATTTCCAACATGGAGACACCGTAAAAAAGCTGTTGCAATAGTCCAGCCTCGAGTGAATAAACGCGTGAGCCAAACTCTTCAGGGTAATCTCATTAAGTGAATTTTTTATAGCCCTCATCATGCGAAGTTGTCGATGACATTCACCAGTTAGCCACTTCATGTGGCACTCCATTGTCATATTACTATCGAATACAACACCAAGATTACGAGCAACTTGACATAATTCAATCTTACTGTTGTTAATCTCAATCGAAATGAAATTTAATTTGTTTATTTGCTGCCACGTACCAATTGGCAATAACTGGGTTTTGCATTGATTCAATTTGAGTTTGTGCTTGATCATCCAAGAATCAATCGTCTCCATGCGCCGACCAAATCTTTCAAAAAGAGCTTGAAATGAAGTAGCTAGACCACTGACAATGATTTGTATGTCATCTACAAACCCATGATGCTTGAACCTGAATGAATCAATGATGTCGAAAACGTCAGCAGTGTATAGCAAAAACAGCAGCGGTCCAAGTACTGAGCCTTGTGGTACACCATGCTTTACTTCCTGAACAGATGATAAAACATCTCTGCGTAATACCTGTTGTTTTCGCGCAGAGAGATATGATTCAAACCAAATAAGAACAACACCTGAGATTCCAAAACATTGACGTAGCTTTCCAAGTAAATTCTCGTGATTAACGCAATCAAAGGCCGCACTAATATCAAGTAATGCCAAGATTGAGATATTTTGATCATCACTAGCAGCAAACAACTCAGATGAAACATCTATCAGTGCAGTCTCAGTTGAATGAAATTTTTTAAATCCTGAATGACATTTTGGTAGCAGATCATTATGATTTAAATGACAAATTAGCTGTTTGTGGACAATTCGTTCAATAACTTTTGACAAANATGTTAGATTTGACACCGGTCTATAACTTGATAAACTATTCTTGTCTAGTATCTGCTTTTTTTAACATCGG